AAATTACGAGTATGTCATATGAGAAAACTATAGAAAAAAGCTATAATTTATATTTTTTTAACTCCATATGGAATCCTAAATTATACAAATCAACTCTATTTAATTAGATAAGCATAGAATTAGGCTAAAAATTAACCTAATTATATTAGTCAAAATTAAAGTTAACTAATGTAAAAAATTGATGAAAATTTTACTTTCCCTAAATTCAATAAAAAAAATGATTGATCGAATCTAAATCCAGTCAAATAGTCAAAATACAATCAAGATAAAGTTTGATCAAAATATTTTATTAAAATTAAATTAAATTAGTTAATTTTATAACCAAGGACATAAGTCGAAATAATATTTATTTTTTGAAGGATAAAATTATAATTTTATTGGGATATATAGTGAAAATATATGATTTTTGAAGGGTAGAACTATTAAGGAGACACAGATTGACATTAAAAGGATTCATAAGGGCAAAATTATGATTTTAATGGGTGAAAACCTTTTTTCTTCCTCGTTGCTATGCGAGGCATGCAATTGACGCATTATGCGATTGTTCATTGTGTTGGGTGTTATTGTTCTCACACGGCTGATCGACAACCCCTACAATCACCATGGTGTGTTGTTGCACCCACACACGATTATTCTCACCACTCGCGTGTTCCTCATTGATGGAATACCTCTACAGCCATACATTGCTGACTACCATATGCTTAATTAGCAACACCAGGACATAACTCCAAATGCCGATGTCATCTACAACCGTTCACCACCATATGTGATGTTATGAAACAAGGACTTCCAACAACTATCGACACCGACCATGGCCAGTGCTCAAAACTTTACCATGGCGACTTCCACCATGCAGAACCACCTAGCAATCGTTCTTCTCTACTTCTATGTCGACTGCCATAACAACAATAACTTTCAGTAAGAGTGACAACAACAGTAGGCTAGTACCATCGCTTGTAGCACCATCACCCTTTGTTCCGTCGTGCTCGACCATCATTGTGGGCTTTGCGGTCTTCACTACCCACATCAATGTAGCAACGATAATTCCTCGATCAAACACAAGAAATCTCGCATTACCCACAAGTAAGCGAGGATGGATGAGATAGGAAAGCAGATCGATAACATAAATAAAACGTTCAAATATTGTATAATCAAAATCAAATAATACCTTTTCACAAGTAAATGTGCTAATAAATACATGTAATTGTAAAGTAGATATGATATATTTTTACGATCTAAGGTATTTAGTTTTAAAAATGACTCTAATACTAATTCTAAGCATAAAAAACTATAATTATGTTACTATTATATGAAAAACTTAAATATAAAAAATGAAATCAAATAACAATAATTCAAGATTAGAATTGTATATATTTCATGTCATTCAAAATACCCTTATCTGATATGCAAATGTATGATCGTTGAATTTGAAAATTACAACGATGCAGATCTACAAGAAGAACTAGACTCGCTTTCTCATCTTTTTCTTTCTTTCACATGACTACCATAATCTCAATTTTTGATATTTCATCCCTAGGAGGTCTTAGACAAGAATAATAGAAGGTCTAGGATAGTAATTAAAAGAGTCTCTTTCATCCATCAAAGTCATCTCCTAAGAAATCCTATCATATATGAATTTTCTGTTGATCGAGATATCCGTAATCAAAACCTAATCAGATCTATAATATAATATATCTAATTAAATAAAGCTATATAATCTAACATAAGATCGATCCAATGCTCCGCCCATGAAACATAGCTACTTCCTTTGATGAGTTCATATGCGACTTACTGCAGAATTACTTCAATGCTCTTCGTAGTTGTGTATTGATGGAGGGATTACAGCTTAATGTATCATGCAATAATTTTATGGCCTCTTCTGCCTAAGTTAGTAGGTTCCTGGTTCTGATTGCTAGGCAATTTGTGAGAGTTCCCTTGGGAATAATATACTCTTTTTTTCATTCTCAGAAAAAGTTTATTAATGTTTGGTAGCTGTAGTGCTAGATTAATGTACAAGAAGTAGCTGTTCATCACACATGTTAACCAGCAGTATACCACTTGAGCATGATAAATGCATGGATGACAAAGGGAAACAAAATTTACTTTGAGAAAGATGTCCACTGAAGGCAGTGGCAGTCCACAAAAAAAGTAGGGAAGCAAGTGGTGGTCTTTTTTTATGGACCACCATGCATCTTGCCACTTGCACTTCCTTTCCCTTTAAAAATGGTGGGGAAGAGAGAGAGAGAGAGAGAAAGGGCCAGAGAAAGAACTCATTGAGCCCACCATTCTCAGATGCAGCAGCAGTAGCCAATGGATTCAGTTCAGTTCATTTGGCACGCTCTCAAGCAGAAGGCCAGCACTCTGTTTGCATTAAATCCACTTCTTCTCCCCTGAAACCAAGCCCACCTTACAACTCTCTCTCTCTCTCTCTCTTTATCGCTCCCTGAGGTTGTGTTGTGGGTCGCCTCACCACCCCCTTGCTTTCTTCTCTGAACCAAATACCACTCTCTTCTACCTCTCTCCCCATGCAAATCCTATTCAAGGAATAAGCTGTGAGGAAAACCAAGCACATACTTGCAGACAGTGGCTGATCATAAAATAACCTTCATGGATTCCGTTCCTTCTTCCCCTTCTTCGTCACCGTCGTCATCCTGTGGTTCTCTGAACGCTGCCGATATCTAAGCAGTTTCGCTGGTTGCATCCCCCACCCTCGCCCGCCCCCGCCCTCGGATGCCGGAGATTGGAGAAGAAGGGAGAGGTAGAGGGGGGGTGATGTTTTCTCTGAGACCGAGGTTCTTCGTCGAGGAAGGCTATGACGAGGCCCGCCACTTCTTGGACTCGTGCTTCCTCTGCAAGAGACCCCTCTCCCGGAACCGCGACGTCTTCATGTACAGAGGAGACACACCATTCTGCAGCGTGGAGTGCCGGCAAGAGCAGATCGAGATGGACGAGGCCAGGGAACAGAAGTTGAAGCTTTCTTTAAAGAATTCTTCGACAAAGGAGCAGCAGAACGCATCAAAAACCAGCGCGATCAACAGCCCACCGAAGTCCCAGAAGATCCATGTCAAAGCCGGTACCGTTGTTGCCAGCTAATAGTCCTTTCAAGCGATCAAACAAGTAGTAGTTAAGGATCTGCACGCGAATGGAAGAAAACTCACTGAAGGAAAAAGAACACCAAAAAGAAAAAAAGAAATCTTTTCTCTTAATTTTGCATGCGCAGGACCAAGAACAAGAGTTGTGTATCATGATGATGGTTTGCTAATATGAAGTTGGCACCGTGCAGTAAATCTTTTGTTGGACGATCGGCAGGAAGCCTTTAAATGTCCTTCTTCTGTGTGTCTATGTGATGTTCTCCTTCTTGTCTTCAAACATATGAAATCAACAAATACTGTTTAATTTGCTCTCTCTCTCTCTCTCTCTCTCTCTCTCTCTCTCTCTCTCTATCTCGTGCCGTGGTTGATATATACTGAATACTTGTTAGCATGGAGTTGTTTATAGTATTAATGAGTAGATTGAGGGACTCTGAGCTAATCGAAGTTGACTCCGAAAGAAACTGGAGAGAACAGCAGGATTCTCTCGTCTCTAAACTTCCTCCAATACTCTTGGTCATTCTCTTGCAGATTCCTTCGTGCTTATTTGGCTGTAATTTGCAAGCATAATTGAATCCTCTCCATCTCGGAGATGTTCTTGGTTGAATCCTTGCAAAGGTGGCGCCCAAGCGTTTTCCTAAATAATTCTCTAGGGGTGAGATCTCCTCCTCCCTTATTCTCACACTGGAATCTGATTCAGTCTGGGTGATTCAAAGTGCTCTGACAAGACTCAAACCGCTGGTCTCCAGCATCACTTTAGGGAGTTCTTGATTTCTGACAGAAACAACCATTCTAATTCTGCCTTCTCTAGCTTGGAAAGCAGCTGCATCAAAATCTATCTTCATCCAATGCAATACAATGGATTATTCACCTTTTGATGCTTCCAGAATAACTTGGAATCTTCTACGGAACCTTCAAGCAGTCTAGTCTCTGGTTTCTTTTCTGCTACAATGGCCATGCAACAGTAAACATAAGAGCAGGCGGATGTTCAGATCCTTCAACACCACACATGTTCAATGGTTAATTTGACATTCGGCTATCAGTATGAGAACTGATGGAAAAGAGAGTTGCAGATTCCACATGAAGAATACCCCTCGAGTTCTCCACTTCATAATCACTCTGGGAAATGGTGTGTGACCTACAAGTTTTCTCGTGAACAAGTTAGCATTGAATTAGGAATATCCTCAAAGAACACCAAGCAAAATTCTTCAAGTGGAATTTGAAGATTCAGTAGAGATTTCCAGAAACGTTTGTCATCCATCTTATATATGGAGTGTTGCCTCCAGATTTCCAGGAAGCAAGTAATCCATTTGTAGATGATGATGAGCACTGTGAAATGCCTATGTTTTACCAAGTGTCAAAGAAACTGATACCTATAACAATTTTATTCATTTTGGTTGGTATTGAAAGTAAGAAGCTCATCTCTCAATCCTAACATTAATAATCTTCTACTGCATATAATGCTTTTTCATAGGTATTTTATTTCCAGCATACTGATAATTTTCTCTAAGTAAACACCATACATTATACAACTTTTAGTCACAAGAGATTGTTCATTCTTCATAAGCCTCCAAAACTGCTTAACTGAGCTTTGTGATACACATTGTGGCCCATCTAGACTAACACACACCTTCATTATTTATACATGTAGAATTACTTGCCGATCTACCTTGATTGATATTTCCTTTCCAGCCCAAGAATTTTTTTTCCAGATTTTGTGAAAAACCATATCAAGAACTTCCTGAGTCATGAAAGCAGACGTAAATGTTTGTCGTGATGATCAATTCTGTTCACCTCTAATCTATTCCCCACCATCCTTCTTGAGCCCTTTTTCCACATTTCGGCTAAATTTGATGTTGTCTTTACCTATTCACCTCGGCGAGTTGCATTTTCGTGGCCCTTTGTTATGGATTTGCACAACATTAAACTCTCCATCATAATTTTTGATCTCTTCTGGATAATTAGACTCCATCTCAGAATGTAAAAGAGCTGTCATCTCAGAAGAGATGCACAAGCAAGCTGCATCTCTATCTGGTCTCCAACATCATTATATCTGATATAATTATGAACGCCTCAAGAGACCAATGTCTAGTTGTGGATTTCGATGATGATTTGACTTTCCAATGTTGGTTAACAAGCGAAGAGGATCGTAGAACTTTCAACTATGATTAACATGATCCAAAACGGATTCAAAGGTGCTGGTGGAGCTGTTTTAAGTGGAGAATCTACAGCTTGCTTTGAGACTTCTGTTCTTGGAAACTCCTTTATGGATTTTAGAGTGTCATATGCTTTAAGGGTGGGTAGGTAATAAATAGGTCATCTAATTGGTTGGCTAATTTTGTTAGAACATCCCTTTTTATTTTCTTTCGAGAAGGCAGTTTACCTTCCGATTTGCCTTTTTTATTATTATTTAGTTTCTCTTCTCTTTTGGACAAAAAAAAAAAAGGAAAAACAACCAATACATCTTTGCTCCTTAGCACCCAAAACTTAATGGTGCATAGAAGAATATATTGGGGAGAAGTGATTGATAACCTCTACCCTCCAATCCATATGGGTGGAAGAATTCTTTGGCAGTAGAAGTCCTAACTGGGGATGCACTCAAATTGAGAGGATGCCCAATTAACGTATCTCGTTGAAATTAAAGGATGAGTAATATGACATTTTCTAGGCCCAACATCCACTCATGGCCCAAAATAGCTAACATATATGATACACCCATATTTGATCAATCGTAAAAATATTGTTATAACATGTATAGAACATGAAAAATATTCACAATTACAAGCAATAGGTCAAATAGATCAAGAAACATATACCCAAGGACGCTCTTGAGTTAGTTAGGAATGATGTGATATAAATAGAAATAAATTTTTGTATATGAACAAATACTAGCAGGCTATAACACGCAGCAGAATTAAATGGAATTATAATCAAATAGAACACCAAGATTTATATGGAAAACCCCTCCAACATGAATGGTAAAAATCACGGAGCAAACTAGAAATAATCCACTATAAGAATAATGAATATATCTTTTGCCCAAAACCCTAGTAACAATCACAAAAGAATAACTGAGTTACAAGAATTACATCACTATGCATAATATCTAAATTTTTCCCAAATAATCACAGCAGCAAGAATGTACTATAGATCTGATCTAACTTGAGATGAGAACACTGCCTAGAACAATCTCTCTGCGTTATCCTTGTTTTCTTCTATTTCATTCTCTTGTTTTTTTATCCTTTTCTCCTCTTTTGTTAAATCAAGATGCTATTATAGTTTTCTCCGCTGCAGTTTTTTCTTCTCTTATTTTCGTACCCCTTATTAGATCAAGGTTTTGACTTGAAAGAGGGGTGGGATATGGGCTGTTAAAGCTCACTATGAGCTGAACTTATGGGCTGTCAGCCCAACAAGAAACTCGTGGTCGTTCAAATCCATTGAGAATCGAGGGAGATATAGTTCGATAATCTATAAAGAATCATAAGATTCAACACAAATCAACCTTTGAAACATTGTTTTATAACACAGCTACAGCTAAGTCTTGTTGCTGTCACAATGGCTATACCAGCAGCAGTAGCAACAAGGAAGAAAAGGAAAGGAGTAGAGGCAGCGGTGGCAACAGAGAAGGAAAGGAGAAAAAGGGAACGAAGAAGGTTTTCGAAAAATTTTCACAAAACACCAAGAAAAATATAATTGTCAATTAAAATTTAAAGTAATCAGCTGATGTCAGTTAAGTCATAGAATGGTCAAACAAGCCTAACATGATTGCTAATTTTAGGTGAAACATTTAAGCAACTAAAAGGGAATCAAACAGGTGGATTGAATTGGTAAAGTCAATGTGACTAGTCAGTCAACAGGCGTATTTGGGACCTGTAACTCACATAAGAAGTAATGATCAAATGAGTGGATGAGTGCAATGATAAAATGAAATAAAAGTATCCATGTTTAATAAACAAATTATGGGTAATTATATACATCAGCCAATTCTGTGTTCCATATATAGCAGACTAATGAACCACATGAAACCTCTGTTACTTCTCGGGGAAACCTCCCCATCGTTTTCTAAATCTTAAAACTTGTGCTACTGCAGATGAGTATAACCTCTTGATATTTAATTCTTGCAATGCATGCATGCCAGCTTTTAGGATCTCATTTGGTCCTTCTCATCTTGGTGGAGCTGTTACGAGAGTGAGCCCCCATGCATCTTACACAGCAATGATCGGATTAAACAGGTCACCAGAACAAATCTGTGTCGACAGAAAGAAATCTGAATCTGAGTTCAGTGCCAGCCATAGAATGTCTGCTTCGAAGAACATTAGTATGGAGAGCTAAAAGATCCCTGTTATGCGTGCACAGAAATGTACACGTTAGGATGGGAGTCAAAAGATATCCATGCTTGGGCTACCAAGATATTTTGAATTACTTTGGCAGAATTGATTTACAGAACATGAGGCAGGAACGAGATGTGCCGATCCAACTTCTGGATTTCGTCGTAGCAAGCGTGCATGCGTTTACTCCTCCAATGCAAGAGCTGAGGTGGGTATGAGATGGATTGGATTGATGACAGTGATGCACGGGGAATCTCCTCCCAAGTATTCTATTCTCCAACCAAGGACCGTGACAGCCTGAAGAAGCCAAATATCTCCAACCAAGTATTCTATTCTCCCAAGTTTGGTTTGGCTTTGATCCATTTCTTTCCAAATTACAATGTTGGCTCTCTCTGTTTTCACTTTTGATGACCGTAAAAGGTCGATGAAACAGCAACAGGCACTCCGATGAGAGCCACGAGCAGGAAGGAATCCTGGTGTGGGGGGGACCTACTTGGACAGAAATGGCCGTAACTGAGCTTTGAAAAGTGCATGTCGGAGTGCTGCAGGTTTTCTTTCTCCAACATGACCAAAATATATGGCGGACGAAGAGTAAAAGGATAAGCTTCATGCCTTCCACACATAAGTTGTGGTGGAGTTTGGAGGCCGTGACAAACTTGCGGCTAAGAAGGATCAATGTTTTGCGGATTGTCTCAAGTGCTAATCTGCGCACCTCCCCCTGTCGGTGCATCTTAAATCGAAGCGAAGGCAGCGCCCGCCCTAATACTGAATCGATAAATCGTTCATGACCACAATATATCCGTGTTTGTATGCGCGTCATGCTAATCGCAAAGGCAAGTAAGACGTAAGAGATGGGATTGATGAAACTGTTCAACCAAAGCTGTCGGTGCACGTGAAATCCCAACCCATTCAAAAGGAGAAGCGTTTGATGAGACGATGACTTCAAATCTATCAGTATTCGCTAGGCATGATTTAAGCTTTTCT